AAACAATTATAGAACCCAAATCAATAAAAAAACAATAGTTAATCGAAATAACAATAGACAAAAATTTAAATTCAAAATTTTTCCCAGTTGATAAGGTATATTAAATAAAAAAATGAAAGATATTCAAATTGATATTTTTATTTTAAAACTAAATTAGTACAAACGTAATTTTATATCTATATTTCTTCACTCCAAGGTGAAATTATTTCATTTCATTAAATATCAAAAAAAATATTATTCCATATTTTCAGAAAAGACATGATTATACCAAAAAATTAACTTAGGGCACGTGTTGTTTTTAATTAAAAAAAAAATCCCAGTGTTTTTTTATCAAAACGAAGCTTTTTAGGGGGCGTCGCAAAAAATTTATTTAATTTTTAACGACCAATAAAAATATAATAATTTATTATTGCAATCAAACTACAATTTAACATTGATGTTTAAACTATAATTTTTTTGTTCCTTGCTATATTTATAATTAAACTATAATTTTAGTTTGATTATAAAGATAGCATGAAACCTACACAAATTGTATTTTAAATTTAAAAATGTAATAAAATTAAATATGTCATAAAGGTTTTATTGGTTTTATTACTGTTAGTAGGTACAAATAAATTTAATTTTCATTTTTAATTGTTGGTCTATAAAATTTTAAATTAATAGCAACAGTGTTTGTATGAGTTTTTGTTGTTAAAAATATTATTATTATTATTATTATTATTATTGACATTTAAAATAGCTTGAAAACCCTTAAATTTTATCACGAAAGTAACACCAAAACCCCGACATTTCGTAATTATACATTATACTTTAGGGTCATATATAAAAATATCTTATAGTTTTACATATAATTTATATAAAATCCGATAATTTTTTTTATACCTATTAAATTTTTAACCTCAACCATTAATTTAAATAAACTATTTTATTTATTTGGAAATTGTATCAAATCAATTTAAAGTATTGTTATATAATCGAAGCACACATGGAATACCAATCGAAGTATACTTATATTTAGTTCAATATCAGTTTTATTTCAACACAAAATTAGTGCAATTCAATTGTGGGGACCAAATATAAATAAAGAAAAATTAATACAGTCATCAGTTAATTCGCTTTTTTCGAATAACAAACACAAACAAACAATTAAAAATGTTCAAATTGGTAATACAAAAATGAAAAAATCTTAAATTCAGTAAATAATTTTGTTTTATTCTAGGTGGTTATTTTGGCTACACTTGTCATGGCTTATGCCGACCCAAAACCAAGAGTCCTAGCTGCAGCTCCAGTGGCAGTAGCTCGTGCAGTTGCACCTGCTGTAGTAACGGCCCAAAGTTCCCAGGTTATCGCAAGAAACTACAATGCTTTGGTCGCTCCTGTCCCTGCAGCTCCTCTAGTGGCAGCTCCAGCACCTTTAGTCGCAGGTAGAGCACCTCTAGTAGCCGCCCCAGCTTCAGTTTTCGCACCAAGAGCCCCATTGGTCGCCGCTCCAGCTCCAGTTTTCGCACCAAGGGCTCCATTGGTAGCTGCACCATCTCCTTTATTCGCCGCTAGATCTCCGTACGTATCTGCTCCTTTGGTGAATGCTGCAGTTCCTTACACCGATCCATTTTTGGCTGGAGCTTATCCAGCTATAGCTTCGCCTTATAGAGCGCTTCCGAGTCCTTTGGTAGCTGGAGCATTACCCGCTGCTTATAGGGCTTTTCTTTAAAGGCTGATTTAACTATACAATTCTTTTCTTGAATGTTCTATAATGTATATATTTGTAAATAGATATTCTCAATTACTTTTTATTTTTATTTTTTAGTGTAATAACTATCTGTTAACCCTATCTATTAAACTAATCATATAGACAATGTTCATTGGACATGTACCCTAATAAAGAATACAGTAGGTCTTAAAATCACCGGACCAAAAGGGGTCATTCCTTGCAAAAATACAAAACAAAATTTCCTTTACCATTTTTTTTCGAATTCGCAGTTATTTTATTTTTAAAGCCACCAATTGGATCGCAGTGTTTTTGGGCAATCGGACGAGTTTTTGTTATATTTTTTGTGTTTGATCATTGAGAAAAAAAAATAAAAATAAATTCGGTACCTGTTGTCGCAAGTGCTGAGTAAAAAGGCGGGTCTCATTGGCGGCCTTAAAAATGAAATAACAATTTTGCGAATTTTAAGAAATGGTAAAGAAAAACTCTTTAAGAGGAATTAACACTAGTAAGGTTACCTTACACTTTGAGGTGCCAAGTTTGTGATGCTACCAACTTTGGGACAACCTCATTTGCGGCCTTAAAAGTTAAATAACTCCTGCAATTTTGCGAATTCCAAAAAATAGTAAAGAAAATTTCGTCTTGAATTTTTGCAAGCAATCGACTTCTTTCATTTGGTCCGGTGATTTTGGGATACTCTGTATATTAAAAAAATTGATATATTAATTTAAAGTTGACAAGTTCATAATTTTTAAATTTATATTTAAATTTTTTTCAAACAATAAAAGCTACTAGTTTTAAAAATGTATATTTGGCCCCAAATGTAAAAAATCATTTATCCAAAATTTTGGATTGAATATTAAATACGTATTATTAATGCGTAATATTAAACTTACTATCCTAGCGCTATCTGCTAAAAGCTCTAGCTCCCTTATAAAGCATTTTTGATTAAGACGATTTGGATAAAATTCTTCTTAAATCATTCTTCGTTTATGGGGTGAGTTTCCGAACACCATTATAATTTTTTGGAAATGCAGTGTCAAACTTTCTACGAAAATAAACTAAATTAATAGTGGCGAGATTCCAAAAAATATGGGAATAAATATCCAAAAAAGGCCTAAAAGACATATTTTCATATACATCATAACATAATATGTAATATAATATATTAATGTAATTATCTCCTAAACCTTATAATACTTAATGTATTAATATAATTAATAGTAGCGAGATTCCAAAAAATATGGGAATAAATATCCAAAAAAGTCCTAACAGACATATTTTCATATACATCACAACATAATATGTAATATAATATATTAATGTAATTATCTCCTACACCTTATAATACTTTATGTATTAATATAATTTAAAACTTTTATTAAGTTTAAATAATAAGATAAATTTTATTAAGTATAATACTTAATAAAATGTTTCTAATTGTTTAAATTTAATAAAAGTTTTATATTATAATTACACAAAAAAAGTACCCGGATCTGGTTTTTTATATATTTTTATGCGCTGAATCCGAATCCGAAATTCGCCCTTCATGTCTAAGTCTCAACCTAACCTCAAAAAACTGAAAAAAAAATGTTTTTTTCTGTTCTAGGCTTGAGGCATATCAATAGTAGTTATGTTTTTCAACGTGCCAAATTATGTCAAAATCACTGTGTAGGAGGTTACGCCTTCTTTTTTCGCCTCGAGCATTCTTTTCTCTTTTCAGCATCCAGCAAAAATCGGCCATCATGACTTCATCACATCTACACTGAAAAAAATTTACGAAACACACATTTATTTCTGTTTTTTTACTTAAGAAATGTGTTGTTCCATATAAAACATGTACACACATACTTACATAAGTAAAATAGCATCAATTTATGTATTTTTTTAAATTAATATGTAGTTTTTCATATTATTATGTAACAAATCCTTAAATTTATGTGCTTTTACAATTTTTAATGTACTTGTACTATTATTTTCCTAAATTTTAGATTTACATGACCTTTGCATTTTTACACATTATATGTAGTTTTACAGTATGTTTGTACATATACATTTAAATACGTGGCATCAAAATAACCAACGATCAGATGTGTAAATTTACTAAATATTTTTTTGAGTGTACCCTGATATCGTTTAAAAAATTGTGATGTTTAATGAATTTGAAATTACACCTTCTTCATTCACACCTTGATAGGTTTCCCGCAAATGTTGGAGACTACAGTGAAGAACAAGGAGACCGGTTCCATCAAGATATTAAAGTAATGGAACAACGAAATCAGGGTGGATGCATCCCATGGGATGAAGTCATGATGGCCAAATTTTGCTGAATGCTGAAAAGAGAAATGATTGTTCGAGGCGAAAAAAGAAGGCAAAAACCCTTAAACAGATCTTTCTAAGAAAAAGAACACGGTATAGTGCAAAAGATTAAGGCTGGAAGGTTAAGGTTAAAGGACAACTGGAGAGAGTATTCTTGCCCCTAAATTTTGATTTAGCAAGTGGAAAAACATAAATATTGGTATGCCTCAACCCTAGAACAGAAAAAACAAATGTTTTCAGTTTTTTGAGGTAAGGTTGAAACTTGGACGTGCAAGGCGAATTTTGACATCGGATTCGGATTCAGTGTATCAAAATACATAAAAAAATCTGTGTCACATACCCAGATCCGGGTACTTTTGTATTTTTGTGTGGCTGTGATATTATTATTTTTTGCACGAAGATCCAAGCATTGCCATTGCCAAGTGAAAGTGCACGATACAGTTTAACAAATTAAGGAAAGTTTAGTATAGCAGACATACTGACTACTTTACATACCAAAAATAATTGTTGTAAACAGTACTTGTAATATAAATATAACATTTTAAAACTAAATTTTAAAATTTTGTTATTAAAAATATAATTTTGTTTGTAATTACATAAATATACAGTTTATTTATATCCATGGGGAATTTAAAACATCATTTATATTTGTTATTGTCCTCAAAAATCATTAATTTAAGACCATTTTCATGTTTAAATTTTAACCAATTTATCTTTCTTAATGTATAACAAAAGAATCTTCCTCGAGGTCAAAAGCAAAAGATTGCTATCAGCGATTTTTTAAAAACAAAGACTATAAGTGCAGTTTGGGATAATAATTATAATTAAAATTAATTACACTTAAGAAACAAAAAAGGTTTACCTAATATTAAATATGCGACTATGATTTTTAAAAACTGGTTTAAAGAGTTTTAGAATTGCATTGTAAGTCAATCAAGTTTGAATACAAATTGATTTATTTAGTTGATGTGTTAATAATAAAAGCACCTAATTGCAAAATTATTTTTGGAAGGGTTAAAATAAAACGTATTTAAATAAAAATGGACAATAATTGTTATCAGTATTCGATTATCAACAAGTATAAACCAAACTTACCAAACATGTTCAAATTCGTAAGTAATATAATAATATACTATATAATAAATACATATTTCAACATTTGTATAATAACAATTTTTTTCCTTTTTAGATTGTATTTGTAGCTCTTTGCTTCATCGTAGCTTCAGCTGCACCCAAACCAGGACTATTTGCAGCTCCATTAGCAGTTGCTCCAGCTGTAGTGACAGCTGAAAGTTCGCAAGTGGTTGCACGTAATTTTAATGCTCTTGTGGCCGCTCACGCTCCAGTAGTAGCCGCGCCAGCCATTGCCGTTGCCGCTCCAGTATTAGCTCATTCAGCTCCTCTATTGGCCGCTCCAGCCATTTCTCCGTATGCAGCTTACTCGCCATACACGTATGGAGGACCCTTAGTGCTGTGATTTTCATTTTAACACGTTCGCTGCGGAAGTTTAAAGTATATTTCTACATGTGTAGGTTTTTATTAAAATTTAAAATATATGCCAGTAAATTAAATGATTTTTTTATTTTCAATCGGTCTATAATTTTAACGTTATTGTTGTCAACACTCGTTAAATTGATTAGCGCCTATAGGCACTTAAAAATTATTAAGACCAATTGGGTAAGGTTATTTACAGCCTATAGGCTATTAAAAATAATTATTTAAAACCTTTGAACCAATTTAAAAAAATGAATACTGTAACATCTACTTTATACTTTTAATAATTATTATTATAATTCTACGTTTTATGTATGTTTAACAAATAAAATTGTGTCTTGAAATATTGTATGGCATTCGGCCAAGAAGTTTCTTTATGTGCTTCGACTAATTGTAAACTTTTAGCTCAATTACTTAATGACATAAATAACTATTACTCTCAAAGAAATTAACTTCATTTCATTTTGTATTCCAATTTAAACAATGGAATATCTGTTTATTAAAAAACATATAACTATAATTTCCTTTCTTAATTTAAGAGAAACTTAAAAGATTTCTTGGATTTCTTCATAATGTTACGTTACCTTCTCGCTAGATGCCATAAAGGTATACATTTTACTTTAAAAACATATTAATTTTTTTTATAACATTTTAGATCAATAATATTTAATACGACATCGTACATCCATTAACTTTAACTTCTTTTTAATATACAGGGTATATTATTAATCAGTCGGTTAATTAAGTTATCTTATGTCAATGAATTAGTAAAAAATGATTTAATAGTTATTACTTGTCCATGGTTAACCTTGGAATAACATGGTATCCTAAAATTTAACAACAAATTCTTATGTAAAATTAAGTTAAAAATGTAAAACAGTTTTTGAGATATAGTCAATTTTCCATTTAATATGGAATTGACTATATCTCAAAAACTGCTCCACATTCATAATTTTTGATGGAATTTTCGGATTCAGGGAACAATTTTACATGGGAATTGGCTGTTAAATTTTGGGATAGGTACCATGGTATTTCATGGTTAACCATGGTACAAGTGAAAAAGCAGCCACTAACTATTAAATAGTCATTTTTGACTAATTCATTTTTAGAGAGTTCACACAAAATTATATTTTGAAATTGATTAGTTGGATTAGATGAAAACAAATTTTATAGGCTATCGGTTCCAGTTAAAAAATTTTGTTTGTTATCTATATAACGTAATTATTAATAATATAATATGTATAGTATAAGTTATTTAATTTATAACATATAAAATTATAATATAATTTTATATATGCACCTAATATTATAAGCTATTAACTTGCATATTTTTTGTTTTTTTCGTAAATAAGTTTTTTAGTAAAACTTTCCATCAGGCTTATTTTATAGGTCGTCTTTAAAATGGTCCATAGACTCAAAGCTGTTGCTTAGAACCTTATCTAAATTATATTACTAAAAACTCAAAAAATCGTAATCTTGAAAAGTATAACTTATGATGTAATTCGGAAAGGGCAAAGGGACCTCTTGTCGGAAAGACTAAACTTAAATTATTATTGTTTAATAAATGCCTTACTAAATTTTAAACATTTAATACCAAATTCATTATCAGACTTTTTCGAGAAAAAAACGATGCCAAATTTATATTTAAGGATTAAAAATGTAATCGATATAAAGGATATGACTAATATTCCAACCAAAATTATCGACTTCATGCATATAGATGAGGCCTAAGCATCCTGAAATGGACCGACTTTTATCGATGTTTTTGCCTCTCCTGCATTTTTAGCTGAGCGACAAGAGGTCCCTTTCCCCTTTCCGCATCAAATATGTTAAATAACTATGCTGTACAAAATTTTATTTTCTACAAAGATAATACTACTAAAAATATATGATTTTAAACAGCTTTTTCAAACTTTCTTATGGCGGAGCCTCTAAAAGCCGGATCTAATATGACGGAGCCAGTAATGTTATTTATGTTAGTTAAAAATTAATAAATATCTTTGAGATAGTATTATATTTTTAATTAAAAAATCATTGAAAAAAATCTAAAATATATTCATAACTTCTAGATAGATAGATAAAGAATAAAACTTCTAAATTTATGTTAATAGCTTGAATAATAACTTCAGGAAGGTAAAACATCCAGTACTCAGAATGAGTCTAAGTGATAAAAATTAACGAAGATTATTTCTTTAAAATTATAATTTTTAACCTTATATTAAGACATAAATAAGTGTAAAATGAAGTAATGGAACAATTTTTGTTTTTTATTTGAAAATAAACTAAAATTCTTCTACATATAAAATTCAATTAGAAAATATTAAATGCAGTTTGCCCACTTGAATAATTACCAAACCGGAGGCAATATTTAAAATAAATTAATTTGTTTGTATGTCAAATAAACTGCAGTTTTAGAATTATTATGCAAATTGAAAGTATTGCAATTTTAGATAAAATCCACCTTAATTAATTTTTTGAATAATTTTATTTAAATATATTCATAAATCAATAGCGACATGTAGTACGAAATAAATGAATGAATCCTGTCACGTCAAAAAAGAAATTACAACTTGTGGGCCAATTAAACATAAAATTTCACTTCCCAGTGACGAAACCTATTGGGGTGTCCTAGACAACTATAAATACGCCCACTCAGTAAAAAAATGTATCAGTTGATCAGTTTTATCAAGCAAATCATTAGAACCAATAATCAAAAAAATGTCTTCCTTTAAAGTAATACATTTAATTACAAAGTTTATTATTGCAATGTTTACTAATATATTGGTTTTATTTTAGATTGCAGCAGTGCTAATTTTCGTTGGCGTATCCTCTATCGACTGCAGTGGGGTATTTGCTCATGGTCCAGTATTTGCTCCAGCTCCAGTATTAGCACCAGCCGTAAGATATGCGCATATCGCCCCGCAAGCTGTATCACCATTTGCAGCCCAAGTAAGCACCTTTACTAAAGGATTAAATGTATATGCTGCTCCATATGCTGCTGGAGTACTTTCTGGACCTGCCATCGCTCCAGCATATCCACATGGTCTACCATACCCCGCTGTAGCTCCAGCACCCGGCCTATTACCTGCTCCCGTAGCTGCCCCCGCATACTACCCCTCTCCCTATGCTGCTCCTGGTTTCCTTCCATCCCCATACGCAGCAGCAGCTTACCCACACATTCATGCTGGTCTGCCAGCTTCTCCATTGTTGCCCTCTCCTTTCGCTAGGTCAGTGCATGCGGTTGCGCCAGCTCTAGCACCAGCTCCATTGTTAGGTTGAACATTTTAGTTGCTTGAGTTCAAATATGTGATTGTTAACTATTTTTATACTGTATATAAAAAGAAATAAATTTGTATAAAAAAGAATTCTTTTTTTTTATTTTTAGAGAAAAATATAGAAACTCATGCACGAGCCTAATATGTATATAATTATATTTCTCAGGTACTATAAGTTTTATAATTTAAATATACTTATCAGCAAAACTCTTATGAATGATATAAATATATATTATATAAACTATTTCAAATATTTAATATACACTCACGTGCAAAATAATCGATCCACACAAATTTTCGATGAATTTCAATCGCAAATAACTTTTTTATTTGATGTCGGATTTAAACGAAAATTAAAGAATATTGTACATAAATTAATGGACAATCGCTCACATTAAAAAAAAAATACTAAAAAATAGACGTAGGTACGTTTATAATATACAGGTTTAAACAAAAAGATGTTTTTTACCATAAGTTTAAGACACTCTGTAGAGTGGAAAAACCGTATATTGTTCTAAATTAAGTTTTATTTATCAAGTCACATCTATTCTTAACAGTTTTGTTTTTGGTTCACCTCGATCTATTTATTTTTGTGGAAAATATGGATTTTTTTAAAAATTTTAAGGTGTCTTCTTACTTTATAAAATGGATAGGTATGTCTCCGACTGATGTTGCCAGAGCTATTAATTTAATCCAGGATGGACGGTCACAGTATTACGTGCCAAGTGTTTTAAACGTCATAAGAAGTAAAGTACAAAGGGCAACATCAGTCGGAGACATTTTTAAAAGTAAGAAGACACCTTAAAATTTAAACATTAATTTGAAAAAAAACAATTTGATAGCTTTTGAAAGCCGTGTATGACATGTCCAAGTATGGAATGATTTAACAAAACTGTCATTGTCATTCTCCATAGCCTATGGATGGTCCATAGCAACCTTAGTTCTTCAAACAGAAAAATATTGGAAATTGCAATGTTTTTAAAAAAAATCCATATTTCCCACAAAAATAAATATATCGAGGTGAACCAAAAACAAAACTGTTAAGAATATATGTGACTTGATAAACAAAACTTAATTTAGAACAATATACGGTTTTGCCACTCTACAGAGTGTCTTAAACTTATGGTAAAAAAATATATTTTTGTTTTAACCTGTATATTATAAACGTACGTCTATTTTTTAGTATTTTTTTAAAATGTGAGCGATCGTCCAATATTTTATCTACAATATTCTTTAATATTCGTTTAAATCCGACATCAAATAAAAAAGTTATTTGCGATTGAAATTCATCGAAAATTTGTGTGGATCGATTATTTTGCACGTTAGTGTATTTAAATATACTTATCAGCAAAACTCTAATGAATGATATAAATTTATATTATACAAAATATTTCAAATATTGTTTTCTATAGTAAGTTCACAATAAAGTGTGACATTTTGTCCACAAAAAGTTTTTTTATAAAACTAAATATTCTAAATAAATAATACACCTATAATATGAGGTGATCTGCAAACTCCAATTATAGTAATATTATTTATGGAATAAGTCAAATTTATGTTTAAGTTTAAGACATAAATTTGACTTATTCTATAGATATTATCACTACTGAAGTAGTTACCAATTATTTAAGTTTTATATGTTGTAATGGGACGATATATGGGGCAGTTAATTTTTAACATTTGGTAGTTTAAGTCTTTAAGCTTTACGAAATGTTATATTGAATTTTAAATGTTTATTTTAAAATTTTATTAGGTGTTAGGTAAATTGTTTATTATACAATACTAATTTATAAGTCCCATCTGGACGACCACTTGAGGGTTCGTTACAGAAAGACAAAATAAGCAAATTTTGATTCATTTTCGTAGTCTTAAAAATGAACATAAAAAGAGCGTGTTAAAAACCTAGAGAAGAAAGTAGATTGGAGACAGTTACGGTTTGCTATTTGAAGGGGATAGTTGAATTCTTTAATTTTGTAAGGGAGTCAATTTAATCAATAATCCATTGTTTTTATATAAATTCAGTTTTAGTGAAAGTGTTGTTTATTTAAATAGGTACGTCTTTTCTATATTTAATTATTATAATCTAAGGTCACAAATATCATAATAAGTGGTTAATTATTTAATATTTTATTTAAACTATATTTTATTATTATTTCAACTTGTTCTTTGTGAAAGAAGGAATAAGCTGAATTGTTTTATCTTAATGGTTGTTGTTGGACAAACCAAATTACAAATTTATTACAATCATTATTTTATGTTTATAATTAATTTATTTATATTACATTTACTTTAACAAATTATATTGTAATGTAATTTACCATTTTACTACATATTTCTATTTAACATTTACATACTTTATTTTGTACAGTTTATCTTATTTTATTTATATGATAAATTGATATTCATTATTTAATATGGTGAGACTTTGTTTCAAGTTCTGCATATTAAATAAGTTATTTAGTTAGGGAACTTTGTTGACAGTTTCTGGTTAAGTTTGGTGGATACAGCTTTGCTTTGACAGGCGCACCCAATTGCCAATAATTGCCAGTTAACCAATTTAGATTGACAAAGAATGGTTAGCTAGGGAAATTGATATGGAGTTGTTGTTTTATGGTCTTATTTTATTATTATTGATAATCATTTTATTTTGCTATATTTGATTTGCACTGACATGTTTTTATTAATTGATTATACCTGATTGTATTTGTTATTTATGACTGTAAAATTAAATTGCATTACCGTTGTCCACTTCTATACCACTTGTTATTTATATATTTTATTTATACAACTACCATTTATTATGTTTTTAACAACTTGTTGTGACCTAAGTTATATTATACTTTATGTTTCACATTGTTGTTGTTTGTTGCTGTACAATGTTGTTGTTGCTGTACAGTGTACATTGATAATTATTTCAATTTGTATTTTCTTTTCTACACCGTCCGAGTCTATTATTTATGTAGGTGAATAATCTTAGCAATATGATAATATAATTGATTATATTCCTATTGATTACTTTGATTTTGTTGTATTATTTTATATTGTTAAGATGTGCGACATATATGCAAGTCTGTATTGTATACCTATGTGGGTTTTAAGGTTTTACCTTAATAACTTAAATCAATGATACTTTTCAAATATAAATGTTTTTATTATTAATGTACAGTAACAATAACATTAACTTTTGTATTAATGTTCTTTATGAATAAACTTATTTTAATTTAATACTTTTTCTTTGCTTTTTAAATATCTTTTCAATTGCTATCCGTATCCAGAACCGTATTTACAACAAAAAGGGGACCTAATTTAATTTCTCTAAACTAGACGATCACGTGTTTTGGCCAAAGGTAGTTTTTTGTGGTTTTAATATTCTTTTATAATTATTAACGTGCTCCCTTGCCCCGTTCGTTACAATGTGTGGAAACACCTTCATAGTTAAATACAATTTTTTTGTCGAATGGTTAATAATGCGCCGATTGTATTCGAAATTCTTTATAATTAATATATACGGGAGGTAATGCAGGCTATTAGCCATTATATCGTATGTATTACTAAGCTATTTCTACTCCTCTTGATTAATTTTAATTGGTAGAAATATAGAAATAAAGAAGAAATAATTAAAAAGAACAGAGTTTAAATTTTATTTACGATCACGGGTGACTATGATGATTTTGGAATTGGCTTGTTTGCAACTAACCGATTTATCTAAATTACAGTAAATAATGAAACCGTTACTGAATTTATTATTTCGGTTGTCAGGCGGGGGCGGTTACAATTGATATAGGAAAAAAAACAAATAATGTTAATATTATGCAAATGAAGTAGTAAAAATATATTTGTGCTATTTTAATAAACGCAAATTAATTAGGCTCAAACCGAACAAATTTAAAAATAGTTCATTATCTAACAAGCGAAATTTAAAGCCGAGATCAGTGTTTGTTGCCGAGGCTCATAGGTTATTTAGATAAATTTCTTCTACAGTGACCTATAAGTTTACATTTTATTTGCTGATTTTGAGCTAACCGCGATAGATGGAACCACTATGCCTATGTAATTTCAATGTATTGTTAATATTGTACGGCGGTGTATAAAAATTTGGCTTATAAACTGCCTAAAAATATGAAGTCTTTCTATATAGGCTTATGGGTGTTATAATATAAAAATTGTTATATATAGAGTATACTCTTGAAAAAATATATAGTATATTTTTAGCGCTAACTAGAATAAAATTATTACGTTAAGTTACGTCTCAGGGGGCCCCTTAACAAATAATATTGGCAAAAAATAATACGCCACTAAGTGTCTGATAATTTTTATATTTTTTCCGGATTATGCAATTAAAAATATCCTTTTTTTGTCTGTTGATTTGTTTTCATAACTTGCTTCCATTTCGAGAAATAAAAATAAAACCTTTTCACTGCATATCTCTGGAAAACAATATTCATTAAATAAAAACAAATGAATGTTTTCTTCGCTTCACTTAGTGTCAGTGTAAGAATTTGCAATTTCAACATTTTTAAAATAAAAATGGTTCACCATACAAATCAAGACAAATTGAACATACATGGTTTTAGTTTATGGAGAATGACATCATAATGCTTCAGAAGCTGTGCGCTGCTATCGAGACCAGCGCCAGATCGCAAATCTTTTGTAGCTTTGTGTACCAACTTAGCTACATATGGTAGCTTTATAAAGGAAACGGCTCCGAGAGGGAAGAGGGATACGACTGACAAAAATGTAGCTTTAGTCCTCCAATCAGTAAAAAATAACCCACAAACTTCATTACAAAAATTAAAAGATAAAAATAATATTTCAATATTATAAGATGAATCCAATATTTAAGTTCCTAAAAGGAAATATGTTTTTTCCATACAAGGTTCATCTAGTGCATCATCTACAATAAGGAGATAACCAGCTCAGATTAAACTTTTTGACACATTTTCATATTCTTTTGGAAGAAAATCCAAATTTATTAAACCAAATTATGTGGAGTGACGAATCCCGGTTTCACAACAATGGAGTAATTAATAAACATAATTGTCGCTACTGGTCCCAGGAAAATCCTAACTGGATACGACACACT